TCCTACTACAGAAAGTTTATTAAGAACTTTGCACAAATAGCACGGCCGTTACACCAACTCACAGAAAATGGCCGTCCTTTTGAATGGAGCGAAGACTGGGCAACGGCATATGAAGAGCTGAAACGGGCTCTCAGCTCGTCTCCGGTTTTATCTTATCCAAAACCAGGAGATATGTTCATACTCGATACTGATGCGAGCAATACGGCCATTGGAGCTGTGCTTTCACGATTGCAAGATGGTGAAGAAAAGGTCATCGCTTACTACATCCGAGTTCTATCGAAACAAGAACGAAACTACCGCTTCACCAGGAGGGAGTTATTGGCAATGATAAAATCCGTACGCTATTTCCATAAGTACTTGTATGGGCAGCCATTTCTCTTGAGGACTGACTATGCATCTCTAAAATGGTTGTTGCAGTTTAAAAATCCAGAAGGACAAATTGCTAGATGGCTGCAAAGTATCCAGGAATATGACTTCAAAATTGAACATAGAAGGGGTTCGAGTCATAAGAACGCAGATGCTCCATCCAGAAGACCGTGCTCATATAATTGCAAGCACTGCAATAGACACAAAGAAAAGGAAGATCAAGAACAAATTATCTGTCGCCGTACGAAATTAGAATGTTTGGAAGAATGGAAACCAAGTATCATTGCCAAAGAACAAGAAGAGGACCCCGATATCGGCCCGATTTACCAATTAAAAGAAGCCAATGAAGCCAAACCTTCTTGGCAAGATATTTCCATGAAGTCACCAGCATGCAAAAACTATTGGACTAAATTCGATTCGCTGGAGATTAATAACGGTTTACTGAAGAAAGTATGGGAAAGCACAGATGGTAAAGAACGAGTATTTCAGACAATTCTACCCAAAAAGCGAGGCGTTGAAGTGCTGCGATATCTTCATAATGGCGTTGGTAGAGGCCATTTTGGAGTAAACAAAACTCTCGAAAAGATCAAAGAAAGATTCTACTGTGACGGATGCCGAACCGATGTGGAGAATTGGTGCCGTGCATGTACGGAATGTGCTGCCAGTAAAGGACATCGCAGCCGGAGTAGAGGACCAATGAGACAGTATCTGGTTGGCTCGCCATTTGAGAGAATTGCCATAGACGTAGCAGGGCCGTTTCCAAGAACTAAATCTGGAAATAAGTAAATTTTAGTTGTGATGGACTACTTTAGCAAGTGGCCTGCGGTATACCCAATTCCTAATCAAGAAGCCACCACCATAGCAAATGTGCTCTTCCAAAACTGGGTGTGTAATTTTGGCTGTCCTAGAGAGATCCATTCGGACCAAGGAAGAAATTTTGAATCCTCAGTTTTTCAAGAAATGTGTAAGCTGGTCAACAATAAGCAAGATAATTGGGATACGCAACTTGCTCCATTCTTATTAGCCTATCGATCAGCAGTCCATGAATCCACTGGCAAATATCCGGCAAAAGTGTTATTTGGCAGGGAATTGCTACTTCCCATTGATCTACTAACAGGAAGACCGGAAGATTTATAAATTGGCGAAGATTATGGACTCAAGCTAGCAGAACAACTGAAACTTGTACACGATGAGGTCAGAACAAAATTGAAGATCGAATCTGATCGAATGAAGAGCAAATATGACGCCAGACCGAATCAAGTCGGATTTAGCGAAGGTGAACGAGTTTGGTTTTTCAATCCCCAACGGACAAAAGGCCGCTGTCCAAAGCTTCAGAACTCCTGGGAGGGACCCTATACGATAATCACCGGACTCAACGATGTCACATATCGGATCCAGAAGAGCCCTCAGGCAAAATTTAAAGTTGTCCACATTCACCGTTTGGCCAGATATAACGATGATCCAGGAGTTACCTAAT